GAATATGAATATGAATATGTTGAGTTCCACTAAAATTAAAAGAAATATTCGGTAGAGGTTGTTCTGGATTCATTTTTGAATATTTATTGCATATAAATTCACAGACGTTCCTTTAACCCTTTAAATACCTTTTTCTATATTACATACCCATTGCTCCGTCCGAAGAACCGCAATACTAAGTGACTAAATATACTGTATATGATAAGACAGATGTATGAGAGTTTATTGCACCAGATAATTATACTATTAACGTTGAAAAAAAAAAAGATAGAAACCCAATCCTCTGATTTTTCGTCGCTAAAAGAAAGAACTATATCAAATAAACAGGTATATGGGGATGTTAAGGGAATAATGGAGTAGAGATAATGGAATTCTGTAAATTTAGAAATTTAGAATATGTACGGTACAGAAGGTAGCGTAGCAGAGGCCTACTCCTATATTGTTTCTTCGTGTAAATGTACTATTATAAAGATCCGAGTGAGAAATTTAACAGAAAAAAAAGAAAAATTTACTGAGAAAAAACTAACGAAAAAATGAATAAATTTAACGGAGAAAAACTAACAGAAAAAATAAAAAATTTCACGGAGAAAAAACTAACGAAAAAATGATATTTACAATTATATTTTTATTTATAACTTTTAAAAATAACATTAAATCTTTAATTAAATTAATATCTAGAGAATAATTTTATTTATAATTATTTAAAGAAAAGTAATATATAATTTTTGCTTTTAAATAAAAGATTTTAAAAAGTAAAATAAAAAAAATAAAAGTAAATTAAACAATTTTTTTAACATAAAATATTTTTAAATAAATACTTGGTTAATATTTATAAAAATTTTAATTATGAAATATTTTTTTGCCATTTTTTTGCAACACAAGGCGTGTTGTTATCTTCATTGTACAGTAATGTTAAATATAAAAAATTTAGTATTGCGTCATTAATTCGTATCACGAAAAGAGTGAGGATAATGTGTGTCACCAAAGAGAATTGAAACTATGAGAATCATTATACTCTAAGTTTGTTTCGGAGAGAAGATGTCAAGAATGATATACAGTACAGCTGACATAATAACTCTGCGTCTCTGTTACATTGGCCGTGAATGCAATGCAATGTTACGCCCTTGACGGGATGATTACTTTGAGAAACGAGACAAATTAGGAAATACTTAATAATGCAAATTATGCTAATTAGTGATAGTTAGGTTGGACACTTGAAAATCTTTTTTTTTGTTATAATTAAATTAGGGTCGGATGTTGCAAAACAGCGGGTTACCTTTGGTGAGTGGCGGATTTATTGATCAAATTTTTTGCATATACTGTATATGCTTTTTTTAGATACATTAATAAATGACCTTTGTCTATTCATCGCGAAAGAATTTATCGTGTTACCTTATAAACATAATCCATTTAAAATATTACCTTTTTCGGGCGATAGTTTGGTTTATCCCGTTTATCTATTGTAACATGAGTAATGGCGACGCGATCTGTACTAACAACGACGTCCAAGAAGTATCACGTGCTCTAACTGGGACAAAACACGTCAAAACACTAAACAGCACACATGTAAGTGTGAAAAATGTGATACGTAGAGAATTATAGCATAATCAAAGAAAGATCGGGCTAAGTCACGTGACCCGTTTCTGCTTGTCAGATGTCTATTACAACAGAAACGATAATCAATATTTAATGGTTTCGCTGCGATCTATTATTTTAGATTTCTTTTTTTGTTTATTTTATTTTCTTATTGTCGATTGTTATGTAATTATGGGAACTAATTGTATAATAAAAAGAATTCCGCCTCACCAAATAAACACTTACCATCGTTACGCGAATCTTAGCTTTCATTAGTGACAGACTCGCCAATAACCATTACATTATATATAGGTTGAGTAAATATTTTTAGTGACGTATGCATTCATTGAAGAATTAGGAAATTAAGTATATGCGTATATAACCTTATTTATCACGTGGTAATTCGTGTGGCTCAGCGGTCACATAACCTACAGGCGCATCAATTATACGTTTGAGTTACCGGGTACATTTCAGTATCCAATAATAAGTAAATCCACATCGCATCAGACAAATTTTCTGTAGCATGTGTAAGATCGTCTAGATGTGTAGGTTAAGATTCAATAAAAACCTGGCATTGAATGCTCGTTCACCTCAAAAAAATAAAAAAATATAATAATTATAATTAAATTTTAATATCTTAAATTTGATAATTTATTTAAATATATTAAAGTTTACATAATGTAAGAATCTTTAGGTTTAATTGGTATTATATAGTTTTTTAATAAATTAATAATAATATCATGATAAAAGTTGAGTTTGAAAGTTTTCACCAAAATTAGAATTATGATATGTTTCACCTTAAAAAAAAAAACGGATTTTCTCCGTAAAATCGGCCCCAACTGTGGTATTGCTAGATTAGCTGCGTTATACTCATTGAAATATTATGGGAGACGTATATTCTACAATAAGTCTGTATTTCTCCAAATTATCTATAATAAAGAGAATGATGGACGTGTACCACTTTAAACCTTTTTTTTAAAAAACAAGGATTTTCACATGTGGACTCATTGACAGAAGATTTTAGATATAGACTCAGATTTTCAGATACGGATCACATTCGGACGAAAGAAAATACGTCTCACCTAAAAAAAAAGAACTTCATACATGATAGGCTGTGAAACAGAAAATGATATCGTAAAACCTTATTCTCGATTAAAAAATGGATTTTTAACGATGTACTCATTTTGTAACACTAAAATTTGATTATCCATGATGTGTATTCCATGTCTGGATTTTCGCTCAGGTTGTGCAATAGTGGATGTTGCATGTCAGCGGGTCTCCAGAGCCAATGTTTGCATGAAAGCAGTCAATGTTGCATGAAAGCGGGTCTCCAGAGTCAATGTTGCACAAAAGTGGATGTTCAACTTTTCGCTGATATTCCATGTTGCACTGAAATAGATGTTCAAATTCAACAACCACTTTTCGCTGATATTCCATGTTGCACTAAAATGGATGTTCAAATTCAACAACCACTTCTCGCTGACATTCCATGTTGCACAAAAATTAAAAATTGTTATATAAGCTACATTCTTCTTAGACATACTGTTATAATTAATTAACTTTCAATTCTTCTAACCACTTCTACTATGAGTAATCAAATTGTTTATAAATTACACTATACTATAGTCTAGGAAAAGCTTTCTATATTGACGATCAAGGCGGAGTTTATGATATTAATGATCTAAACTTTCCCGTCCTAATTGGTCATTTAACCGATATAAGCTTAATGGACTCGATAGGCATTTTAATATTAGACTCCTATCAGGTTAAAGTCGCAGCTTCTAGTCCTACAAAACGACATGTGTGTATTCTCTGCGAAAAATCATTTCTGTCTTCCAGCGCGTTAAGAGTCCATGAAAACTCTCATACTAGGGAAAAACGTAGGTCTAAACAAATATTTATTTAACACATTAGGATAAAACAGACTAACGAAAAAACATGTTTTTAGTATACAAATGTGAAGATGAAGGATGCGGGAAAATTTACACGACAAACAGTAATCTCCTTCGTCACAAAAAAAAACATAATTAGAGAGGAGAATAGTCACGTTATAATATATATCTACTGTCAATTAATACCATTGCGTTTCTTCTTTTTAGAGTGGAAGTTTTTTAGGAATTTATGTAGTGATTAAAACGCTTGATTATTTAGAGTTATAATTAAAATTTTTCGCATAAATAAAATTTAAAGATTTTAACACGTGACACGTGCATATTGCTTTACGAATAAACACAGGTAAACACATGCATACTGTAATGTTAATTTTGACCAAAGTCTGTTTTTTTTAAAAAAAAGAATTTTTGACAAAATTAAATTTTTTCTAGAAATAAATGTTACAAAAATTTTAGTTTATTATTTAAATTAATAAAAGTTATGATATTTAAAATTATTTTTATACTTAAATATTTATTACTAACAATAAAATAAACGTACCGTATATAATAATATTAATAGTGTTAGGTTAAATATCAAACAAAGATATTATGTAACAAATAATAATATACAGTCATATACTTTAAGTACATTATGAATAACAATAAAATTTCATTATTTTTAAAGAATTTATCCAATATATATTTTAATATTTTTTGAAATATAATAAATCATCCAAAAAATATTTTATAAAATTTACAATCAATATTAATTTACTAATTATTCATATAAAATAATTTTATTTCTTTAAAAAAAAAGTATTATAAGTAAAATATATAGCAACTGTAATAATTTTAATATTTTGATTTAAATAAATTTTATAATATAAAATAAAATCTTAGTTTGTAATAAAATTTTTAAAAAAGTTAAACATTTTATTTATTTATTTTCTTTAATCAAATTGCTAGGCATGCATTTATTAAGAAAACTGTAATACAATATACAGTATAAAGATATTTGTATATGAATTTGAATATCGCTAACTCAGATCATATAACTTTATTTACATCCAATCAAAATTGCCCTATCCCAGAAAAGTTAATATAAATTACGTAATCGTAAAGTTTATTTTATGCTTAGGGCGGGGTCTGGTTACGTAAATATTTAAGATTTGCCTACGCGTCGTCCTACTGAATATCTAATAATAATAATAAACAAAAGTAGTCAAGCCAAGTGTAAAAAAATTCTATCAATTTTCGTCATTTTTTTAACCACCAAGCAGGAAAAAACAGATAAATTTTATTATATAGATTTTAGAAAACCTATTTGTCTATTTATTACGTGTAACATTATCGATTCAACATGCTCGTTACTACGGTTATATATAAATAGCATAATTCTAAAATGTTAAATAAGACTAATATATAAACCTTCCATCATGAATAATCAAGTCATTTATAAATTATACCATACTAATAATCAGGGAGAAGCTTATGTTGATAATAAAGGCTGGGTTTTTAATATCAATGATTTAACATACCCTGTCCTAAAGGGCCATTTAAACGACATAAGCTTGATGAACTCGATAGGTAATTTAACCTTGAAATCCTATCAAATCGAAGCCACAAATTTCACTTCCGCTAAACATGCATGCATCTTTTGTGGAAAAACATTTCAGTTTCCGAGCGCGTTAAAAACAAACTATAATTCTCATACCAGAGAAAGACGTAGGTCTTCAATTATTTATTGCATTTGAGATATATTAGCGTTGAATAATCACACCCGTTTTAGCTTTGTATGTCATGTCGAAGGATGTGGAAAATCTTACACGACAAATAGCAATCTTCTTCGTCACAGAAATAATAATAATTAGAGAAGAGTCATCTCGCCTATTTATCTAAAATGCGACCAACAATGTTACATGTTCTCTTTTCTTTATCAAATAATATAAATTTTTAGGAAGCTGTTTAATGATTAATGGTTGTTTAAAGAAAGAAATAACCTTTATTTACGCATAAATATTCCCAAAAAATCTCGTAAAAAATTTTCTCACAATTGTTCGCTCGCAAAATATTTTGAATTAAGTTTCTACATAATAAATTGAGAGACTATTATAACGGTGGTTAAAGCCATACTAGTTATGTTCACATATGTAAGAAAGTAAAAAAACGTTTGAGTGTCATCATATTATGTTTGCACGTATAACAATTTGTCCAAGAGTCTATCAAGAAAATCAACACAATATTCGTATAAGATTCGGTAATATTCGTATAATAATCGTGTAACTAGATCCGCTTTGGTTTGTACTGTAAGTTCTTCTATTCTATCTATCACTTTATAAACACCACAATTACTACATATATAAATGTTATTTATAAAGTACATCATATCAATAATGAAGAAAAAACCTTCTATATTAACGATCAAGGCGGAGTTTATGATCTGAAATGCCCTCCTATAAGATGATTCTGCTTCAATAAAATAACGTACATCTTCTGTTGAAGAGCATTATAGTCCCTGAGCGCATTAAAAACCCATTATAACTCTCATACTGGAGAAAGATGTAAGTCTGAATAATTCGTTTATTATAATACCTTAATTAATAATGAAGGCTAAAAAATAATGTTTATCTATTAATTGTATTTAGCGTATAAATGTGAAGTTAAAGAGTATGAAAATTTTACATGTCAATCTAATTCAGTGCGACTAAAAAACATCATTATACAATTTTCTTTTATTAGATAATATATTTTTTTAAAGGAATCTATTTATATAATT